TCTCCAGCCACTGGGGGAAATGACGCGACGGCTGAGCTCTGCAGCGTTGGGGATGTCCGACTGCTCTCCGGTCCACTTTTCCACTTTCCGTTTCCCGGTGTCAGGGTGTGAGGGCTGTGTTGTTGCCAGAGCTTGTCCCTGCCGCTCCTGTGCGGAATGGAAAAGGGAAGCCGGCTTTGGCCTAGTAAACGCCACACGCACACACAGTTCGCACAGGATCCCCCCCTCGGCAGATCGCGTGCCCCTGGCGGGCCAGAGGGAGCGGGGCGGGGGCTGTCGGCCGTCCCGTCCGAGGGCGCGCTACGTTCCCAGGCAAGGTCAGCGAGGGCAGGACACGCCCTGGTGGAAAGGGTGAGCTGGACCGCGCCATTTCTGCGGGGAAAGACGGTCATCTCCGCCGCCAGCCCGTGGGAATCCTGAGCCGCTGGGCTGTTTTTGGAGACAGCGGCTTGACGCCCCCCCTCCACCTGGGGCTGGCATTGTTCGCTGCTGAGGCGGTTTTCCTTTTTTCTTCTCAGCCTTGTTTTACAGTCTGCCCCAGCCTGAAAACACAAAGTTAAACAGAGCTAAATTTCCAGAGATCTTGCTACATCACAACAAAGGAGCGCGTATCTCCGGGCTTTAAAGTACTTGGTTATAGTCTGAGGCGGGGTGTGTGTGTGATGGGGATCATTCTTTTTTTTTCCCCCACTCTGGGTGACTTTCCTGATCCTGACCGTTCAGCACCCTCTCTCTGGTTTAACACGCAGAGGACTCGGGACGGAAAGAGTTGATTCTGCGGATTAACGACAAAGATTTCCAACCAGCAGCACCAGTCTGCTGTTGGGGCGTCTCGGGGGTACGGGGGAGATGGTGTTCTCTTATTTGACTCCTCACAGGAACTGCTGAGCCAGAGCGCCATGTTTTTTGAAGCTGATATACCCTGGCTTCTTTCAGGCACGAGATTCTTGACTCAATTGGCTACTAACTACCAAACAGGACTAGATGGGCCGTAGAGATCTTTCTCTCTCTCTCTCTCTCTCGCGCGACTAATTTTCCTCGTCTTCAAAAGTAAGGCCCATTTTATCAGTGGACCGTATGTTTCTTTTTTTGAAGCTGACCAACCGGTTTTGTGTTTCATCCAGCGCCGGCGCACGACCAGCGCCCTTTCAAAGTGCCGTTCAGACACGGGGGGGGGGGGGGGGGGGGTTGATGCCCGACTCTGGGGCGTGACGCATTTGGATCTGCGCAGTCCAAAGACACGCAATCCGGGTCCGTTCCCGTCTCGCCCCGTTTTTTTTTCGTGCGAGCAAATCCGTGTGGGTCGCTCGCGCCCTGCGGCGGGCTGACATCCGACCCAGGCTGTCGTCCATCTTTTGCGGAGTTGGGTGACGGTTAATCGTGACCGTCTGAAGGTGATCGGACCTCTGATTTTTGTTTTTTTTAGCCTTTCGTGTCTGACCGTGTCAACGTGGAATTGCCCGTTGAGTACTGTTCCAAGTGGCAGGTGAGTTGGGCCACGTCTCTTTGAATTGGTCAAAGGGTTAAACCCTGCCAGACCCTGCCTGAACCGTGCTGCCCAGGAGCGAATATGTTTTCTGAGGTGCGGTCGTGTTGCGGGGTCGAGGTGTGCTGGATCAGGGGGCCCGGTGGCGTGCTGCGAGTCGTAGGATTGGGGGGGAATTCCTGCACCCCTCTGTGCAAGCTGCCTTCGGTCACCTCTGAGCTCTGCCTGGTTATCGGGCCTGGGACTGCGAGAGGCAGCTGGGAGCGGGGGTGTAGACGGGGGCGGAGAGTCAGGATCCCCAGAACCTCCCTGGCCCTCCATCATTACCCTGGCGGGAGGTGGTCAGGTTTTTCCCTGTATCTGGAGCGCGGGAAGCCAGAATTGGTGCGGAATGTGGGGTGCGATCGAGAGATGCCTTGAAGAGGGAGTGAGTCTGGTTTGGTGGGACTCCGGGTCAGAAGGAAATGTCGATAAAGGGGCTGATTTCCAAACTCCATGACCGCGATGCCAGTTTGCCAGTCCAGAGGGCAACAGCTGGCGTTTCTTTATCTGCCCGTTTAGGTTTTGTGTAAAAGGGAGGTGTTAAATGACTTGTGCCCAGGGAGGGACTTCATCTCCGCGCCTCGTATCTGTGCTCCCAGTCTTTTTTTGCTTCCCCTTGAGTCTGTCTCGAAGGTCGTGCTGTATCGGATGTTTTGGTGAGCCAATTTTACTTTGTTTTCGCAGCACAAAACTTTTTCCTTTTACCTCCAAGACCCCAACGATCAGCGATGTGTAACTGAACGTGTGGAGCACTTATGGTCGGTACTGCTGGGCCCAGAGCTCTAGGGGATTGTCTGGAAAGGATGGCACACTAGACAATAACTGGTATTACCATGTGTGTCCAGCAAACTGCGGACCCCAGCCCTGTTCCTGCAGGACCACCTGTATTTGTCCATTGAGGTGGTGTGTGAAAGTAAGGTGTTGTAGTTCAGGTGGGTAGCTGTGTCAGCATGCGTAGGCTGCAAAGGAACAAGTAAAGGTTTGTTCCATGCTGAAAAGCGAAGAAAGGAAACAACCCCCTTTTTTCAGCATGGAATAAACCTTTACTTGTCCCAAAGATAGATAGATACTTTATTGATCCCGTGAGGGAAATTGCAGTGCAACAGCAGCTTAACACAGAATTGCAGTGCAACAGCAGCTTAACACAGACGTAAGGTGTAGACTGACATGTGCACAGGGAGGGGAGTTCGTGTCTATGCCTTGTATCTGTTCTCACAGTCCTTTCTGCCTTGCTGCAAGTGTTTAGCACTTATGGTCAGTCTGGTAGGGCTCAGAGCTCTGGGGGATTATCCAGACAGCACAACCTGCCGGTTTTCATTCCAGCTCTGCTCTTAACCTCCAGGGCTAATTGATGCCTTTAATTGATCGTCTTTCTTCCGGTTCGGTTTTTTTTCCATGAGTCGTCTCCAGGCACTTCAAAGCACAGGATTTTTGTGTGGGGGGGTGGTTCTTCCATAGCTTGTTCGAGTTTGACTCTCGACAAACGATCAGTTCACCACCGACAGTCTTGGGTGGGAATGACGATCTATCAGGAACCTTCATCGGAGGTCCAGCCGGTTACATTTCAAGCCTAGTGGTGCAGCGTTGGGCAGCGCCTATATGTGCAAGGGCCAGGAAATGCAAACTGCTTCCTTGACGTGCCTCGCAAGGCGTGATCTAAGAGATCGCCGCGACGTTACAGAGAAACTGCCGAGCGCACAGTGATTGCACAATCACACGTCATATCTGGCTTTTGCACTAGATTTTAACTGCAAGGCGTCCCCCTCAGAAGCATCCAGGGGAGTCAAAGATAGTTGCTTGGCAGTGCTAAACAGCCAGGCCAGGCCCTGGAAGCCGTGGCGCCCGATTCGGGGGGTCCCCACTCATCCGGGGCGCTAGCCTGGCGCCGCCTGAGCTCCTGCGTCTCTCCGCAGATCGAGCGACGGATGGAGATGGTGCGCGCCGTTTCCCACAACGCCCACAAGCGGCTGGTGACGTGCCTGCAGGGCCACCAGGGCACCGACGCGGAGAAGAGACACGTGAGTAGACCTCTGTCCCCCCTAAACCACGGTCGCCTTTGTGATGGGGGCAGTCTGGGGCACAGCAGTAGATCAGCTTAATCCTTCAGCCTGTTTCATCCTGCACGTAGCCCACTTGCATCTGTAGCCTGGTTCCTGTTACTGTATTATAATTATAATAATAATTGCTTACACTTATATAGCGCTTTTCTGGACACTCCACTCAAAGCGCTTTACAGGTAATGGGGATCCCCTCCACCACCACCAGTGTGCAGCCCCCACCTGGATGATGCGACGGCAGCCATAGTGCGCCAGAACGCTCCCCACACACCAGCTATCAGTGGGGAGGAGAGCAGAGTGATGAAGCCAATTCAGAGATGATGATTATTAGGAGGCCATGATTGGGAAAAGCCAGGGGGAAATTTGGGTAGGATGTCGGGGTTACACCCCTACTCTTTTTGAGAAACGCCCTGGGATTTTTAATGACCACAGAGAGTCAGGACCTCGGTTTTACGTCTCATCCGAAGGACGGCACCTGTTTACAGTATAGTGTCCCTGTCACTATACTGGGGCATTAAGACCCACACAGACCACAGGGTGAGTGCCCCCTGCTGGCCCCACTTGCAGATTAATGCAGTGCAAAAGCTTTGGGTTTTAAAATAATGATACAGTAGATTGTTCAAACGTGAGACCACTGTCCTTCTGCAGTTTTACCAGCTAACACTTTACATTAGTAAATACTGATTCATCGCACATTTTATGCTTTTCTCTTTGTTTACTTCTTGTGGTATTCAGTTTTATCTTGAAGAATAATGAGCTTAAAAAAACAACACAACACTTCTTCAGTCTCTTTCTGCATTTTCTGCAACCAGTCAAAGTGGTCTGTGTTTTTTGTAATTGGCTTCCTGTGATGCACTTGCGGCAGTGTGATACCTCTCCAGTAGGGGCCAGTGCTGGGACAGGGTAATCCTGGCCCTGGAGGGCCGATGTGTCCGCGCGGGCTTTGTAGTTTCTTCCCGGCAGCTGAAACGAGCGACTGAGGAGCAAAATAAAAAAAGGAATTGATCTCATCATTACGTCAATAGGGATCTGATGGAGATTGAGAAAACCTGAAACCCTGCAGGCACACAGCCCACCAGAAGGAAGACTGCCCACCCTCCTGGATGGGTGTTAAGGCCGCTGTGACTATAATTCCTTTTCCTTTCTCCCAGAAAAAGCTCCCACTCACAGCGCTGTCTCAGACCATGCAGGATGGAGGGAGTCAACTGGGGGAGGAGTCCCTGATCGGGTGAGTCCGGTCACCCCTGATCTGAGTGGACATGGGCTGGAGGAGAGTGGGGGTTGGTGTTGTTGGTCTTCTAATCCAAAACCCAACCACAGGTGCAGCATCCAATTAAAGATTTCCCTACGACTTATCTTTTTTGGTTGCAAAGTGCGGATGATACTGAATAAAGTGCATCTGGAATCAAAACCTCATTTTAGCGAAGATACGTTTTTTTTTCTTTATGGTTCCTGAAATGCCACCTAACTCGTATCGGCCTTAAGCTTTGCAGTCCTCAGTAGTATTAAGTGTTACAGCACAGGACAGATTTGAGATTCCTGTCTAGAAAATTGAAAAGCAATATGGCCGGTTACTGAGGAGGAACAAGTAAAGGTTTATTCCATGCTGGGAAAAATAAGAAGACAAACAACGCAACGTTTCGGCTGTGGAGCCTTCTTCGGATATGAGAAAGAAAGGGAAGTTGGTAGCTGATGTAGCATGGGAGAACAAAGACCAGGAGTGGAGAGGAGCCGGGAGCGGGGGTGGGGCAGAGTGGACACTCAGGTGGTGTGAGATTCGAGAGAGGTGAGGAGAGGTCGAAACCTCCAAATGAATAGAGAGGAATAGAAAGAAATGAGTCTGTCGTTGAGAGAAGGGGGATGGTGGGATCCTAGTTTCAGTTTAATTTTGATTTCGGATGTCTTTCTGCAATAGGAGTTAAGAAGCCCTACTTTGAGAACGCAGAGATCAGGGTGAGATTAGAGGTGAAATGAGAAACGATGGGCTTGGAGAGATCTTTGATCCTCACAGCCCTAACATGTTCTCTACAGCAGTCTCCCGGTCTCCTTCCTGTTTCCCCAATGTATAGCTGGGCATTTTCTGCAAGAGAGGCAGTAAATAAAGTTGCTGGAGGTACACGATGTCATCTGTGGGATCCAGAATTGTCCTGATGAGGAATGAGGTCTTGGATGAGCGCAGGGTTAGATATATATTTGCATTGGCTGGTTACTGGTCAGAATCTGGTCAGAAAAGGTCATTGCTGCACTCGCCTTTTGGTTTCCCTGCACGTTATATTGGGTCCCTGTGTCTGTTGTGTCCAACGAGTGTTTGTGTAAGTGTGGACCAAAATCTCCCCGACATGTTGTTGAGGCCAGTAATCTGGCAGCTTCCTAGAAATGGATGGACGAGATGCTAAGATCAGGTAGCTCCTACTAGGCTGGACGGCCTCGTCTGGCTTGTGACCGTCTCCGTGCTGTTTGTGTCTATGTCTCTGCCTGCAGGAAGATGATGGAGGTGTGTGGCGAGGCGGAGAACCGGCTGGCCATGGAGCTCTCTCAGCACGAGATGCAGATCGAGAAGGACGTCCTGGACCCCCTCAATCAGCTGGCGGAGGTCAGTAGTCAGTAGAAGTTCTCTCATGGTTTCTGTCAAAATGACTAATTTGATTACGCATTTGGCTGATGCTTTTACCCAAAGCGGCTTTGTGCCCATTGATACACCTGGATCCCTACCGGAATGGATTATGTGAAGGAATTGCTCAGGGGTACAACAGCAGCATCTTATGTGGGATTTGAACTCGCAACCCTCAAGTTCCAGGTCTAGCATCTTGATCACCGTGCCACACTGTTGCCACAGAGCAGTGGCTGATGTAATGACCCCTCTGGTCGGACTAAAATGCTTGACCTCCCCCAGATCATGCCCTCTGCAGGGGAGGCTGTGTTATGACAAGGTACCAGACAGTCAGTGGCTTTATGAAATGCAGTGCAGTAAACCAGCAGGGCCCCTGACTCCTGCCTTTATTGTCCTTCAGATGGACATTCCCAACATCCTGAAACAGAGGAAGCAGCTGGCCAAGATGGTACTGGATTATGACTCTGCACGAGCCAGGTGAGTCACCTGTCTGCCCACCTGTCTTTTCATCGAAATCTCCTTCTGTCTTTTGATTTCCTTGTCTCTGTCTGTGAGCCCACGGCCTCTCTCTCTCTTTCGTGCGGAGGAAAGCAGGTGCCGTTGGTGGAATGTTATTAACTCGAGCTTTGAAGCGCGTGTGACCCCGTTCACGACCTGTTGTGCCCCCCCCAACCCCCCACCCCCCACACACACACACGCAGTGGACACGCTTCTGTGTGGCGGTGGTGCTGGCCAGCGCTCAGCTGTTGAGCTGTTCGTTTCAGGTGGAGTCAGGCGACCAAGTCGATCATCTCGGGAACCAACTTCCAGGCCCTGACAGCCAAGGCTGACTCCCTCAAAGAAGAGGTGGACGAAGCCATGAACAAAGTCGAGCTTTGCAAGGTAATAATAATAATAAT